TCTTCGCCGTCGGGCCGGGACAGCAGGAGAAGATGAGGATTCCGTAGTGGAGACTGACGCTCAGGGACCGCCAAGCTAGTCGCTTCGCATCCCAGAAGCCTCTACCCTACCACTCGCTTCCGGCTAAGCCTGCTGCCATCGCGTCCCAAGCAACTTGAAGCCACTCGTAGTTCTGTTTGTGTTTGCTAATTGTGAATTGTCTACTTCTTGCCTGGTAGCTTGTATGTGCATGCGACGCCGGGAGCAAGGAAGACAAACGTTACCTCGAATTTGAACAGCGAAGACAGCATAAGAGAAAGAAGGATAGAAAGGGAGAAAGAGAAAAAGAGGGAAAGAGGGAAAGAGGGGAACAGAGTACAAGCCGTCAATGCCAAACAAAGTGAGCTTTCGGCTGGAAGCACATCGCCTACGAAATGCTCGGACCGAGGAAAAGCCACCCCCCTCGGGCCCTGCCTGCCAGAGCTCGCTCTTCCATTCCCGTACTTGTCTTTACATCCACCGCCGACTACTCCGCACTACCGCCGCTGCCGCCACCGCTTTCATGCCGTAGACACTCGAGTTTACCTCACTAGTCGGCGGTGCTTGCACGAGCACCACCCGCCAAGAGGCACCCGCAAGCAAGAAGGTACCAATTTTTAGCCGCCGTTCGTTCTTCGATCGTCGGCAGTTCAAGATTGCACCGAAAGTTCTGTTGCAGACAGAATTGGTAAGAGAAGTATTTGATTGCAGAGTTTCATCGTTAATGGTGCGCGTTGATCTTGAAAGTAATAATTAAATTTGAAAAGTAATTTCTAATAAGATAGAAAACAAGATTATTTTTATATCTTGTGACAACTTTTTTTTTAGTACGCATCTTATATTAATTATTATAAAATATTTATGATTTAATGTAGTGTTAATACATTTTACAATGTAATGTTGTTTATTATATTTTTCCATCCTGAACCTAAAATATTGAATATTAAAAGAAAAATAACAATCCACTAAGTTTTAATTATTAAAAATTCTAATAAAGAATTTCCTTATAAATATGCAATTAAATCGCTTATTGGTTGATGTCAAAAGTCGTCAAGTATCTGTATATCTACAATATAGAAAAAATTATAAATAGACAGGAGGTAATAATTAAAGCTTTTGCATATAAATAATTTACATTAAAAGTATACAATTATTTTAGTGTTAAAAGTGTGATTTTTGTGGCCGATTTCAAGCTCACGAATATGCTCTTAATCATTGCGTGGAACGAGTGGCGCTTTAATGAAGCGTCAATATTGGCCGCCGGATCGTTTCAGCCCGCGATAATGAGACAATTTTCAATGCCGCCGATGCGACATCGTCCCCACACGAAATAAAATGGTGCCGTATTGTGAGGAAAATGCGCGCCGCGCACCCTCCGTCGGGCGCCGCTGGACGGGGCGCGGGCGGCCCGCTCGAAATACACCCCGTCTCTCCAGAGACAGGGGACATATTGTTTGGTTCAGTAATTCCTCGCGTTATTTCCCGTGTTTGCTTTTTATCATTGTAAACTGATATATTGTCCGGGGTAACTCCCCTCGCGAATGGAGAAACTTACGGACGCGGGAACGTGGGTGGCTATGGTGCCGAGCACGAGCCGCGCGGCGGGGGCGTAATCGCTCAGACCAGCGGCGCGGAGTTTCACTTCGCGAAGTGATGGAAACGAGATTATATCCGACCACAACGCCAAGCTGCCTTCTTTATTTTTTTAGACACGGACGCGCTCGGGCAATGGAACACCGCTTGTCCACGCCGGGTCTGTGCGCGCGAATGTACGCGTTCAGAAATGAATGTGATAGAGTGACAGCGCGCGATTGTCACAGTGGTCTGTTTTTTATACAGTCGGGTATTTTTGATCGTCGGGCGTTAGTTCACGTTGACATCGAAAAAAATTCCAATTTCTATAAAAAATTTTCTAACTCCAATGCTCAAAATATAATAAAAAGCAATTTAATTAGAAACTAAATTTTACGCACGCGTCACGTAAAATTAAGGTAAACATAGATTATAAGAAATAGTAAACTAATGATATATAAGTTATCTAAAATATTTCATTCATGACAAATATATATTTAATAAGTGTTAAAAATATTATAATGTAGCACATAAACAATATGTTTGAATTACTGTGAAAAGTTGCATTTTTCAGTACATTTTTAAACCCGATTAAAAAATAATTACTGCATTTCTCTTTTTTTTTTTAAATCAATATTTTAGTTAAAATTAAATTGAAATAAGGTGTAAAAAAAAAGAGTACGCTTTATCTTATTGTCCAAGGTGTCGATAAAAATTTTTCTTTGGTCGATCGTTGGTTTATCATCATTGAGATATTGTATTGACACGTACTTCGCGTCAATGTTTGAGCTTGAACTCTCTCGAGTGTCGCGTAAGTGCTTGCGTGCACGACACTGTGATATACACGCTCGTCATATGGCGTGACACGTGCGCCAACGCTGAATTCGTCGCACGGCAAACAACGAATTAAGTCTTGCCGACCGTTCCCGAATCAAATTCTCTGCAATTTGAGATTTGTCAATAAAACACTGCGGGTGCGATGAGATCGATTCGCAAAATTAATGAGGAAATGAATGTTTTAATGAGGAATGAGTGTTTTTATTTTAAATATTGAGTACCAAGAACAACGTTTTTTTCACACTAAATTTAATAGAAGACGTATATTATTTATAACATATTTTTCTTTAGAAACGGTAGGAATTTTTTAGAATTATACATTATAATATAATATCTAGTTGGGGCTAATCAAATTAAGGATGAAATAAGCAACATTTAATTTGTCCAAATGCGAATTGCAGACATTATTCATTATATAGATAGCACGGCGGTACTCTCGCACGAAACGTTGAAAAGGTCCTAAGGCAGCCATTCGGCGTCATCTTCGAGTCCATTTAGGACTCAGGCACGTTCGAAACTCCCAGATCTACACAAATGATAAAGACGGAGCTATCGGTAGAACGCAATTTGTGTTCCTCTTCAGTTAATTACGCGAGGGAGACATTGATACCGGTGGAAGGGACGAGGCTGAGCCGAGGCGAGACAATGTTTAAAGGGCAACGGTGTAATTCGAAGAAAAGCGTCGAGGCGCATCGCGGCGTTGCTGGTGTAAGTGAACGGCAGGTGGTAGGTGGCTATACTAAGAGACGGCAGCAAAGACGTGGTTGTGCCGCACACACACACCCCGGGAGTCGTCGTCTTAGCAAAAGCCGGCATGATCTAGCACGGAAGACAGGGGAATCTGTCTGTCTGTCTTTATCAGCCGGCCGGGCAGGTAGAGCCGTCGAACTGCGCCGCGCCACCCCCGCTACTCCCCTTCCATTCCCCTTCTTTCTTTCAATCCCTCATCACTCTCCTCACACCGAGAGCTATGCCACCGGCGAAAACACCCGATTGGCGTTTCTCTCTCGAACGAGGGAGGACATCACGCACCCCTATTGGCTCCCGGCGAATCCATACTCGGTATTCATTCGCCACCCCATTCGTCGACCCCCTCGCAGGGCCGAAATCCCGTTTCCCCCCTTTTTCCTCGTGTACCCTCTGCCACCTACGTCCTCATCGTTCGACACCCCTTGTGAGCGACCGATACGACTCACTTCCCCCTCTCACGGGGCGTCTTTACAATGCATTTCACCGCCGGCGTTTTCACCTTTCGCGCCGGATATTTCTAAATAAATACTTTTTTAATAAGCGTCGACCGCGCGGACGCGAGTAGCGCCGTAACTGCAGCGCCATTTTGCACGTGTTTTTGCGCTCGGGAGAGAAAATTGGATTTCCACGGCCGTCATCGCGATGCCAGCCATTCTTCTCACATTCCGATATTTGCTGCATCTAACTGGTACCAAAATTTTTTCTACTAACGTTGGCATAAAATACCTAGGATTGGTATAAAAGTCTATTTCAAGCAAAAATTTTTGATAGTTGATAATGATAATTTGTGAAGTTAATTAAATAAAACTTTAATCTATAAATAAGTGTTTTTATTTTCTTTAGGGTTTCTTATGATGCATCTATAAGCAACATGTATTTAATTCTATTAATATCTATTTAATGTCGTATACAATATTATTACTTAAAAATAACAAATCTCTGTGTAGTATATTTTATTTTCAGAATTACAAGTTAAAAACATTTAGTTTAAAAATCATACGAATGTATAAAAAATGTAAAGTATAAATGTTGTAACCATAAAATTTATAGACATAAAAATATAAGAATTAAGAATCAAATAATTATATTTCCTTTAAAGACGCTTATCGCATTTGATATTTAAAAAGGAAATAAAATACGAATTATAAAATAAAATTCACTGCTTGTTTTAAGAATAATTGCTTGTTTCAAAGAATAATAAAGGTTTTGAAAATTTGAGATGTTTGTGATGTTTGTGATGAAAATGGAAACTAGCAAAAAATATATATAACTTTATACACCTACTGTTCAGACAAAAATATATCAAATAAAGAAATTTTTTAAATTGATACGCACTTATTCTTTGAGATTCAATTAAATATAATTTTGCAAAATTGATTTCTCTTTTAATTTATTATCAAAAATTTATAAATTCAAATAAGTATTGAAGAATCATTAAGACTAAAGTTAAATACATCATGTGTGAAAGACGTATTTTCCAAGAAGTGAAAGACAACAAACTATCGTGTCACTAACATTTCAGAAGTTTAAGATAAGATAAAGTCACATCACAGTTTTGATCTTTCGCCGAGCGACGGTGCATGAGAGCATCACTGATATTTAGTTCGTAGAGCGGCATGGATCGGTGGCCGACGCGGCGACGAACGAATTAGGCCAAGAAGGAGTCCACGCCTCGGCTCCGAAGGAGGATCGATGCAAAGTGTCGAACTCGAAAGTCGAGGAGAGTGAGCTTTCGCCTGCACTTTTGACGTCGCCGGTCGCGCCTCGCCCTTCCTGCCGCGTGTTCGAGCAACTCGCGCGGCAGACAGAAACGAAATAGCCGTGTCGTGACATCCCGATGGGTAAAAGCGGGAAAGATAGAACACCGGGGCCGAGGAATGCGGGGATGAAGAATTCTACGGGGTGACACGGGTCGAGCAACGAGGACGGGCCGCGGCGTAGCTCCGCCCATTGCACCGCCCACGCTGGTGGTTGTTGCTAACCTTCCTCCGTTCCCTCGCCCTTCACCCTTCGTGGCGCAGCTGGAAACTTCTCGCGGCTCGCCAGCAGGCAGCGCACACACGTCATCCTCACCAGCGGTGAACGGCGTCTTCAACCGTCGCCCCGGGGTCGCCGTCGCGATCCATTCACGACCCATCCATCGAAAATCATCGGATTCGTCTATTCCGGACATTGGGAGCTTTCCCGGAAGTGATCCGAATCGTGTATCGTGTGTGACATCGGCCGGAGATTAGTGAACCAATCGGATCGTCCTTCGAGATTAAAAACACTGAGCTGAAATTTATTAAGAGAAAAGATCAGGGAATAATAGAGAAGAATCAATTTTAAGATTGCTGCAAAGCATGTTTTGTTCTACGAGATGATTGACTTCAATGATAATAATGTTGAAACAACGTAGCTTTCGGTATAAAATGACTCATCGAGCTCAATCTTTCAGATCGTAATTCAGTCTTTCGCCGAAGAGACTTGAGATTTGTATCCCGTTTTTGTGGATAAATTAAAAATGAAGGGAAAGGACCAGTTCGATAAAGATGCAGGACGTTATTGATAATTATAAACATGGAAAGTGAATTAACTAGAGGACTGAAATCAAGAATCTTGATGATGCCGACGGACAGTCAGGATAATGTAAAGTTGATCATTGAAGTGTCGATTGTCAAATCGTCTCGGAGGCTCCATTTTCGCGAGGACGAGGGACTCCTGAATTTGGTGACATCGATTCGTGTCGCGATGTGTTTAATCTGAAATTATATATTTGCGGCAAATATCTATAACTGCTAAAAACGGTATGAAGAACACGTGCCGTGATTAATGGGAAAGAACTTTATGCGATATCTGAATTATATTCGATGTTGAACGTTCGACTATTAATCGAAAGTTGGTGAAAGTGTTTGGGCTGGTAGAAGAAAAGTCGTGTTGTGAGCTGTGTGGCTGGGGTCGATTATAGACAGCAAAATTTCCACAATTTCTGTAAGTATAAAGAATTATAAGAGTAATATTTTGAATTAAAAATTGTTAGATTGAATAGCCTTCAGTATATTTCACATTTTTTAAATGTTACTTTTTGTAAATTTACTTTTTATAAATTATTATTGAATTATTTTGCAACTGTTTTTTAAATAGCAACCGAAATTTGCGATAGTAAAATTCGCGAAATATTATTAATTCTTTATTTTACAAATTTTATTAAAACTGAGTTATATTATTCATATTCCAATCTGTATAAATAGAAATAATGCAAAATTTGTAATATAAAATAATTATATATCTTTTATTTTTTAAGTTTTGTCGATTGTACATAGATTTTATTTTGCTGTTATTTTTATGCAAGTAAATTAAGATTTTTGATATAAGAATATTAATATATAACACAAATATATTAATATTTTTTATATTTGTTATTATAAAGATGCGTTTAATTGTTGCATGATATCGATCGACTTCCATATGACAAATATTTTCAACAATAATATGATATTCTGTAGTGAAGAGTTGACACATTCGCGTACGCACATCTACAATCTAAAATACAGAAATTCATCAATCGAAGGGTAGATTTTGAGATCAAAGGCTCGGTGTAATTAGCCAGATTTCATGGACGGATAAAGCAAAGATATATACCGCTTTTTGCATCCGGAGAATCCTAAATGGATTAAAACGCCCGTCGCATTGCGTCACATTTCGTCCTCTCGCGCTGAAAGCGGGATGCGTGCAATCAGTAAATGCGTTCAAAGAAGATTCAACCGTTTGAAAAATAAGCAATAAAGACACGATTGCTAGTTATATTATTGTTTAATAAGAGATTGATTTTTATTTTAAAATAAATTTTTTTAAATTTAACAAAATAATTAGAAGTAAAATGAATATTTAGAGATGTCATTGTAGCGTCGCAGAGATTTCACTCTTTCAATTGTTTAATGTTGATTAATTATAAAATGAATATAAAAGAAAATGTTAAGATCTTGAAAGGTGGGGAAAGACAGTTTAAACTTCTATAAAATCAAGTTATTACGATGTAGGATAACATAGAAATGATTGATTCCGTAATATTTCGATTATTTTTTACATGTAACTTTTATAATATATCTATAAAGTGTTTACATATAAATTAATTATAAGATTTGTCAATGCAATCCTGTTGCATCGCTTATTTTTTGTGATACATACAATGCTTAACTCTATTTGTCACGAATTTGTCTCGCAACAAATGTCTTTGAAAGGAAGATATCGATGCGAACAACATGATTAACCGACGACCTCATCGTCCATCTGCGTTGTACAAACACAGCAATCTAGCTCTTCATCTCTTCCTCCCGTTAACTATTCAAATGTATACGCAATGTATCATACTGGCGATAAAAACGTTCAGCATTCAGCGCCCCGACGATCGCCATGAAGGGGTAGTAACAATTCGCGTACCCAAAATACGTACGTGCGCAGTGCGCGCAAACAAACGCGCGTTCGAAGTAGTAACGGCGCGGTAAGTGCCACTGGAAATTAACGAACAATTAGTTCGCCCCGTCCATGTTTTATAAACACAGTGCTCGTGCCATCGACGGCTATTATTTTCGAGGTTTGCCTGCACAGCTACCTACCTACATACTGCTACCTAAGTACCCTACGTTTGAGCGCACGTCCGAAGTATCCGAGTATTCGAGCGAGTACTCAGGGCTTTCGAGCACGGAGGAAGGGTCTTGTAGTGTTTCGTTGCGCTTAAAAGCGCGGGGGGAAGGCAGAGCGGCAAGGCAAGGCGTAGCGCTTTGGTGTTGCAGCCTCTTCAAATCTTGTGCAAACACTCTGAGAGCGGAGAGCGTTCGCCTGGTACGGCGATTAATATCCCAATATAAGGCCTCGCGCACCCGAGCTCATTCGACCGCGCGCGGCTTCGTTGTTTATTCATTGTATCGGCGAACACTCTCTCCCGCGGGATAAGCCGCCTCAACGGCTGCTGCGTCCTGATTTTCTAGATTCCTTGGATCGAGGATGGAAAGGCTTCTACATTGTCGAATATATCGGTACAATGCGATTTCGCATATCATGGATAAATATTGGAAAATAAAATCACAATAAGTGATTAGAAAAGTAGATATAATCAATAATCTCTGTTAACTGTTGAAGACATAGAATTTGCAAATTATTGTACTTTGTAAAATATTGTCTTGAAGCTTTAGAACTTTGGAACTTTGAAACTATGCAATCTTGGTTTTTTGACATTTTAAAGTCGAGCAACTTTTAAAACTATGCACACATAAAGCTTTGAAATTTTAAAATCTTGTTGGAAAATAAAAGATTTAATTTTTAATTGATTATTATTAATTGCAATTAATAAATTATTTCAGCAATGTATAGTATACAAAATTGCAAAATATTTAAAAAAATATATTTAATGTTTTTGTGAATAAATACATAATATTGATGATCAGTTATAGAAATGCAATTCTTTGTCGTGAGTAGTTATAGAGAGTTTTATATACGAGGAAAGTCGTGCCAAGTCTCTTATTCCGAAATAAGTAATAGAAATGTGTCACGCATATGTCTCATATTATACGATTATTATAAGATTGCTTTCGTGCCGAAATCGTGCGATTTAGGCGATTCTTCATCATAATATTGCGGGTACACGTCAAGTTTGTCATCGAATATTACGAGGGCACCTGAGGAACTTACAACGACTAAGTAGCAAACTTTAAGAGCGCGCGAGGTGTGATTAGCATATTTATCGAGCGTCCTGCATCATTTCGTACGCCGGTGTTAAAATTGGGCGACACATCGCGACATTAATTGTCAGCGCTGAGATACGACCGGCTCAGTCGAAAAACCTGATGTCATTTTATTGGCCAATTCGTCCAATTATGTTCGAGGAGTGTCTTAAGTATTCACATACACTTGTATTTTACGCGAATTTTATTGCAAACTAACATAAGTAAAGTAAAATTTCGCGTTTACGCAAATGATCGCTTAATTAGTGTACGAATTTTTGTCTTTGGATGTTAAATTATGACAGCAATCTTTTGAAAATCGAACAGTTTAACAAAATATTCAAATAATACTCTATTTGCTGTAATTTCACGATTTAAGTATTGTAAGATAATTTCGCGCACGTTTGAGTGATTATTTAAAAACTTTTTTGGATTATAAATAAATTAAATAATACCAGCTTGAGATTTTAATAAGTTTAAATACATAAATAGTTATGAAAATAAACCATATTATTGCAAAATAAGTTACGGCAATCAGAGTTTTGGAAAACATGTTTTGGAAAACAAGAATGAAAAAGTTTAGTATAGAAGAAGAAATTGTTATTCAATATTTTATTACTTTTAAACGCATAGTTATTTTTCTTTACTGAAATAGTAAAATATTGGTTTTGTGTAAGTGCTTTGCAAAATCCATATCTGAATTATCTAAAAACCTTTTTTTTTCTTACATTAAATGTTTAGGTGTTTCTATTTCTGTTAATCTATGCTCAAATAGCTTGAAGAAGATAAAATCTTATTGTGCACCATCATGGTATACAGTAATAATAAAATAAATAGAAAAGAGTCGAGTAAAAATAAATAAATAAATAAATATTGTATATTGAAAAATATGTAAGTAAAAATAATAGTTTAAGGTAATGTTAAATATTCGGTAGTTGCATATTATTTCAAAAGCCAAATCTACAAAGGAAAAGAAAGTAAACTCGTATGATAAATGCATTCTTTAAAATTTAAGAATAATTATGTAAACATATTTACGATACTGATAATTATTGAAAGATAATACGTTTCAGTAATTAAAATTAGATAGATGAAGAGATATTATTGTTCCGTAAGATATCAGTAAAAAAACTTGCTTAATTTCACCCCCACGTAACTGACATACGACGGAAGAAAGCGCGAGAACGTCCTCGAATTCAATGGGGCCGCCGCGACTTCCTTTCTCGCTTTATTTTCCCCGCCGTGCAGTCTCCGGCATTATTACGCTACTTGATTTCGCATCGAGCCAGCTGTCTCCGATTATTCGCTATAGAAATTTTGGGGATTCCGGTTCAAAGGGAGACCCCGGCATCCTCCGCTAATATTTGAAGAGAGGCTCCGCGCAGGATCTTACCGGACGTCATCGCACGGGCTGTCTCGTTGCACAATCATCCTTGGATCTTTTTCTCAACGAACAGACGCATTTTTCGATTATAAAGTGCAGTGAGTGTAATTGTTATATCCAGGTGATTAAAAATAAATTTTTATTACTGTTGGCTTAAGCATTTAAATATTCATCGTTTATTGCAAACTTAACTTTTGTGACGAAAAGTTATATTTCCACAAAAAGCGACATGTATGTAAAAAAAAATTTTTTTAATTTGTTTATGTAAATTTTTTTTTGATATTTAAATATATTAAAGAACATCAGAAGGATAATACTATTTGTAAATTCCAAAAATTATATGTAAACATATTACATTGTTACTCTTTAAAGGCTTTTCTAGTTTTTATGTCTTTGGTTATATTCGATAATAATGATAAATATGATGTGTTAATATATTTTCGTTTTCAATCTTGTAAAATTGATAACGGGCTAACGTGCCCCGTTGATTAGAGATATCACTGGTTCGGGAAACTCGTTCTTCGACAGCGGCGTTGCTATTCCTCGTGAAATGCCTTTTCATCGGACGATCCCATGAGAAATGATGCGGAGCGTTGAAACTCGGGGGAAGATTACGCGAACCGGAAGAGTAAACCGAAGTATTTTAAGTATCCAAACGGCGAGGGACGGAAATTGTTGCTTGTGGAATTTGAGGCACGTAGATTTAAGTTTTGTGCAACTATCTGCAACACCTTCCCACTATCTCGGTTTTTCTCACTGACACTCCGCTTCGCACCAAGAACCATGGTGATGGTTAATTCGATAACATACTCGGTACCGTGATCTCTCTTGTAATTGCCGCGTTAATTTGCTTTAAATCAGTGTAAAGCGCAAATGTCTGCCACGTA